ATATATATATATATAAACACTGGCTGCTGTCTCAGCAGCATCACTGCTCAGCTGCCAGGAAGTTTGCAGGGGTGGAACAGCAACAAAAACATCCACCAAGTTCAGGAATCCCAGAATCATTAGGGTTGGAAGGGACCTCTGGAGATCATCCAGTCCTGTCCAGGAAGGGTCACCTGGAGCAGGTGACACAGGAACTTGCCCACGTGGGTTTGGAATGTCTCCAGAGAGGAGATTTCACCACCCTCCCTGGGCAGCTGTTCCAGTGCTCTGCCATCTCTATTGAGAGAAACTTTTCCCTCATGTTGAGGTGGAATTTCTTGTGTTTTAGTTTATGGCCGTAAGTACTAAGGGCAGGATCAGTGGTTAAACCAAGGCTTGGGGAGTTGAGTTTACATTCAAAGTTAAGACTAAAGACAAAACTCACAGTCTCTGGTCTCCTCCTGTTGTCCAGCTCTGACAGGAGGAAACAATCTCTAATGATGGCATTCTTGGAGTTGCACAGAACCTGAAATAGGAGGAACTAGAAGTTGCCTTATTGAGCAGCACTTCTATTGCTCCTATTGAGCAGCACAGCTCTGAGGACACACACAGGTGCCTAAAGGTCACTGCTAAAGAGAAAAGTACGTTCTTTTTTGCTGCAGGGATTAAATACATCTTCTGCAAAGCATTTCTGCTCCAAGCAGGTAATGAGAGAATAGCATCCCTTTTTTGTCCTTACCTCCTTCAGGTTTCTGTACAGCAGATCATTATTCTTCTCCAGAAATCCTGAAGAAAATATTTTAAAAAAAGTTTAATTCTTTTGGAGGCCACAAACTTCAGCACAAAATCAGGACATTTCTGTCCTCAAAATTCTCACTGCAGTCATGTGTGAGACATTCAAGTAACAGTGCCTCCAGAGGGCAGGTAATTGGGAATTCCTCTTCCCATCAAGTCCTCAGCTCCCACATCACCTGAAGAGCTCGGGTAACTCCCAGACTGGGCCTGCTCACTCACCAACAGCACAGTAAGTGACCTCTCCTGCGTAGTGGAGGAGCCGGAAATCCACCCAGTCGATGGATTTCCGCGTTTTCTGGTCCGCGAGTTTGCGACTGCAGGGGAAAAACAGCAAAACACCAAGAGAAAGGGCAACAAACAGCTTTGCTCAGGCTGGACAGAGTCACAGCTGCAGGACAGCTGGAAACGTAGGGTTTGTGCCTCTTGATGGGGCTCTGACTGTAGAGTTATGGCCCAGAGTCAAACCATCATTTATCTCTGGTGGCAGCAGAGAATGGGAGCAGCTCCCATAAACTCAGAATACCTGTGACCTTCCTATTGCCATTTGACAAGGACCACCCTTTCCAGAAATATTAAGATTTCTTCCCATAACATTCATTTAAATACATTCTTATTTGCTTAAATGGGGGGAAAAGATTAGCAACTCCCTCAACTTCAAAGCAAACCCGGGGCAAAAGGATTGCTCAAGATATTTTGCCCTGGGGCAAGAACCCAAATACAAAGGAGGAATCCAAATGTTCAAGAATAGCGGGAAAATTTTAGAAAGCAAGGATTCCCTGGAGAAAAAAAAAATACCAAGGAAAAAAGAGCAACTTCACAGTTGAAGTTTCAGCTTTGTAAGCAGTCAGTAACTGCAGAGCTGGGTGTCACAACAGCACATTAGTCTATCAAAGCTCCTTCCAAGAGCATCGCCAAGTACAGATCCTGTTTAAGTAGCTCCAGCACTGCTATTTAAAGCTTTAATCAGGCAGAACAGCATTAAGGCACATTGTGGTGACAAGGAAGTTGGCTCCAAATTTTCCACTTGGCTGTGGCGAAGTTCAGAGCTGTAGGAACAGTGACAGCTCAGCAGCGGGGCTCGGAATTGATGCCTTGTCAGAGCCTTCAGCAGCTCCTGCTGGGAACCAGCCCAGCGCCAACGCACTCATCTGCCACCAAAACGGGCTCCAAACCCACTGCAAACGGAGTATCAACCAAAATGTCACTCAGCTCAGGGATAGGAGCAGGAGCATTTTCTCTCCTTTTCGTACTCAAATCTCACAAGTGGCAAGATGAATGTCAATATTTATACACCCCTCAGGCATTGGGCTCCTTGTCACAACATCTTCAGCTTTCCCTGGAGTCAGTGGGGCCAAAGCCACCTGTGGCCAGAGTCATCTCACCTTCATGGGCTAAAATCATGGGCTGAACCCATGAGTCCCTAATTTTAGTGTGAAATGAAACCAGTTCACAGATCAGCATCACACCAGCAAAGAGACAGGACCCCCCTCCACCTCCCAGTGCCTCGGGTCAGACTCTGCCAGTGCAGCCCATTTCAGTGCCAGACACTGGATGGGCTGCTTGATTTGCTTTGGTACAAAGCAAACATTGTTCCCTCCCCAACACTGTCATGGATTTGAGATGGGGAGAGGCTGGGATAGGATACAGAGGTAAATGCATACGTCACGAAGTGGGCATGATCTCCTACTTTCTCTTCCAGCTTTTCCAAGAAGCTCAGGTCAGTCGCTTCCCCAGGCCGTAAACATTCCTCATCCTGGAAGAGCAGACACTGGATCAGGGCTGCCCTGAGCACCTGCTCCCTCCTCCACAAAATATAACTGTGTTACACAGAGCCTGAGACCGGTTGGTGGAGAAGCAAAGCACCCACCCCCTTCAACCCCCACAGCTCTCCAGCCGTCAGATCCTCCGCCTTCAACTTCTGGGTGTTTGTTTACCAAGGTCAGTGTGTTTACACTCTGGATAACGCAGATCCATCCCACAATCAGAGGGAAAAAAATGTGATTATGGGTCATTAGAGCAGGGCACAGGCCAACATTTTAATTTAGCACAAACTCTGTTCTTACCAGAATGGAGATTATTCCTTTGTGCTTCTGCTCAACCAAGTCACAGATGATTTTGTTGTTAAAATATGGGATTGGCTCCCACTGGAAAATGAAAACAGGAAGAACAGCTTTAGATGAAGACCTTTTCTTTGCAATTTTAAAGTTCTTTGGAACTTAGATCCCACTAAAGATCAGTGCTGTGAATTAGGACCAACTGAAGGGAAAAGGTGACAGCACAGTGATCCATGACCCCACTCCAGAGTTCTCCTGCTTTCAACAGCCCAGACCAGCTCCTTGTCCTCTACATGAATGTTTTCCACCTTCTCATGTCTTGCACTGCTGGAGTTCCTCATTCTCCAGGGACATTGTCACTGCTTAACATCTGAGTTTTGGGGAAGGTCCTGCTTCTTTGTTAAATGATGTAAATTTAGTCTTGGCTAAATTACACTTCAAAAGGGGATTCAGAATGAGACCCGTGGCAATCTCACACTTCCCATGGGAACAATAACAAACTGAAAAAAGCAGGATACCTTTCACATTGCTGATCAAAAGCATTCAGTGTAATGGCAGTTCAAAGAGAAAAGGAGGGGAAAATATAATGTACCTCTATCCCTTCCAGTTCGTATTCCTCCTGCTCTGCTTTCAGGGTCATCTCAATCAGCAGCTGCTGGAGCTTCTCATTGCAGTAATTAATGCAGAACTGCTCAAAGCTTCGGGGGGTTTAAATGAGCATCAGGTTTTATGTATTTCATGGGCAGTTCAGCTTCTCCCACCAGCACCTGCTGTTCTCGAGCCAAACCACCCACTTCCACACAGACCAAACCCACACATCCCTCCCACACAGTCGTACCAACAGCCCAAACCCAGGCCTGCAGCCCAAGCTAAAGTTTTCAATGGGGTTCAGCAAACCCTCTGCACCCAGATTTTACAGTCCCCCATGTCTTGCCTTGCGGGGGGAAGAGCACACTCCAGAAGTCAGGCAGGACTTCAGCACATGCCCCAGGTCACCCCAAGCCTCAGGAACAGCCCTTACCTGTTTGTGTCCAGCACTTCAAAGCCATAGATATCCAGCAGGCCAATAACTGTTTTCTGAGTTGAATCCTGTTAAAGACACCACAGCTCTGCAACTGCTCCTTCCCTGCATGTTCCTTCTTCCACCTGAATTTTAAACTTTCTCTTTGGGACTTTCATGTCACATCCCACTGGAGAAGCCACTTTAAAGCAGGACCCCAGGCAAGAAACCAACCTTGTTGGCCAGAGAGCTGTTGATTTTGTTGACAAGCCACGTGAAAGTCCGTCCATAAATCGCCTTGGCTACGGCGTCCCGAGCATAGAATGCCAGATCCACGTTCAGCGGGCTCAGGACCTGGAAATAAAGATATGCCAGAGCTGCCAACCACCACAGATAATCACAGCAAACTTCTGCCAAGCCAGTTCATACTTGTGGCTTGGTGTGCACCCCCACTGTTGTGCACCACAGCACAGCTGGGCTGCAGCTGCTCCTGTACATACCCATGGCAGGGGGTGGACTGGATGATCTTTAAGGTCCCTTCCAGCCCAAACCATTCTGGGCTTCCATGATTCCACCTACAGCCTTATTTCCCATCAGGGTTCCTTCAACCACTACATGCCAGCAGGGTTAGGACACTACGTTTTGAAGAATACTAACTTAGACAAGTGGGGGAGCTATTCTGACTTCCTCGTACTTTTATTTTATTAAAATAAAGATACAAAATGCTCGAAGAGCAGTTTTTACCAGTGTTTTCTTCCAGTTTCCCAGGAAGCACTAAGGACTGGACAAAGGGAAATTGTTTGGCTCTAACACAGGGCTGCCTGCAAGTCCCTGCTCCCAGGTTTTTAACAGTTTCTTGTTCAGCAAGAAGCCCTAATATTGGGGATATATTTAATTTAATGTCTCAGCTAGAAGAAGGGGATGTGGAGGAAGAGTGGGACAGCCAGAGTGACCTGTTTGTACTGTAACATGGAGAACAGAGCTCCTTGTCCACCCCCCCTCCCTCAGAGTTGGGGGTCTCCCAATGTCTGGGGTTACACAGAATCACTCGGTACCTCTTCGGATCTGGCCTCGATCTTGCGGTGGGTGAGAGCTTCCTGCAGGATGGACAGGTGAGCACCCAGGAGCTGCAGGAAAGGGGATATTTGCACTCCGGGCCCAGCCAGCAGGACACTTTAAACAGGCAGCACAGTGTGACCAGTGGGGCACAACCCCCAGTGCCTTCCCAGTCACCCTCTTCTTTGAGCAACAGCAATTAAGGAAGTTCCAGGGAGATGAGCTACAGAGAAAATTCCAGAGAGTTTACAGCAAGAGCTGGGTATTTATATAGTTAGGTGTTTATACAGTTATCCTCCTGTTTTGGGGAACAAATGTTTTGTCCTTAAGAAAAAAATACAGCAGGGTTAAAGTCTTCTTTGTAGCACTGGCAATACTGGCACTGTCTCAGCAAAGGTACCTTTGAAATCCACTTGATCTGGGTGCCATCCCGGATGATGGCATGGCCATTGCTGTCCTCTTCAAACTGAATGTTCCCGAGGTGCAGGACACTGGCAACAATTCCAAAGAGGTGCTAAGAACAGGAGGTAGACTATTAGAACACAGGTTTCCATAGCTTGGGAATGGTGCAACTCCTTCCTACACCTGCTGGTAACCAGAATACTGCCAGGCTGAGGGAGGTGAGTCAGAGGACCTGCTACAGGGGTGTGATGCCCCCACGGGCACCACGCTCCTCACCTGTCCACTCCCTCAATCCCATGGAATTGCAGAAAGGACCTTGAGGATTTTCCAGGCCCACTCCTGCCATGGGCAGGGACACCTTCCACTAGCCCAGGTTGCTCCAAGCCCCGTCCAACCTGGCCTTGGACACTTCCAGGGATGGGGCAGCCACCACTTCTCTGGGCAACCTGTGCCAGGGCCTCACCACCCTCACAGGGAAGAATTCCTTCCCAATCTCCCATCCAACCCTGCCCTCTGTCAGTGGGAAGCCATTCCCCCCTTGTCCTGTCACCCATGCTTTTGTAAAAAGTCCCTCTCCATCTTTGTTGTCGGCTCCCTCCAGGTACTAACCACCAAAATAATGCCTTATTCCACCCTTAACACCTCTCCCAAGAAAGGCTGCTTCCATCGGTTCAGGAAAACAGCAGTTCCCTCCTTAAATTCCCTTTTAACACACACACCTCGACATCTTTCTCAGTGAAGTCAATGATAGAAAAAGCTTTGCGGACTATTTTCCAGTCATTCTTGTCATTAATAGAAAACACTTTGGCACATCGACCCTACAGTAAAAGAAAGATGGATTAGCACAATTCATTGGCAAAGCGAATTTGTTAATCAGCAAACAGATACTTCTGGGCAGACTGCTTTCATTTCCAGTTTCCTCAGCAAGTTATGTCAGTGCTATTAATCCTAAAAGTGGCTCTTTTGATGAGATTTTTCAGTTTATACTGAAAACCTGATACAAAGCACTGAGTGTTACCATAAATTGGTTAAGGCTTGTGCAGAGCCTGAGCTTGCAGCCATCCTCTGTTTTTCAGGGTAAGAATATCTCCTGCCCAAGCTGCCTGTGCAACCCCTGTGATTCCTGGTGTGCCACAGAGGGAGCAGCTCCCACTGACCTGGATGAGATACGTGTACTTCTGGGGATTGCGCTCCAGCCCGAGCCAGGACAGAAGATCCTTCTCTCCACCCTCCAACAACTGGTAGAAAATATGGAAATTCCTTTCCCCGTGGTTTTGGTGGACAACTCTGGATTTCTCAATTAGGTAGCTGAGGATGTGCCCTCCCACTGGCGCTCCCTGGCAGGACAGAGCAGTCAGATCAACACCAAAAATACCAATAACATCCCTATGATGGCTGGTTTTTTACACCCGGGAATGAGGAGCAGGATCAGGAAAAACCCGATTCTGCAGTCACTTATCTGCCACCTTTATTTGAGAGTGAGTATCCAGCAACATTACAAGGGTTTGCTGTCCTGCTAATTGTGCTTTACAACTCTCTCTCAGCTTTCCAGGGAGCACTGGCTGGATCGCCAGTGATGTAGGAAGCTTTCAGGATGGATAACTTGTGACCTTACCTGCAAAATGCAAGGCCTGTAAAAACAGGATCACAAATGTGCAGTGTAAGGATTAATAAATCCTGGGCTGCCTGGTCAGTGCCCAAGAGGTTCTCTGATCCAGCTTGTTTTCCCACAGTGCTCCACTGGGTTTGTTCTCACCTTAAAATCAAACTGGATGTCCATGTATTTCCCAAACCTACTGGAGTTGTCATTACGCAGAGTTTTTGCATTCCCAAAAGCCTGTGGATACACAGACAGGTAAAGTCACTTCTCATCTCACTGAGAACCTGACACAGGACCAAGTTCCAGTAACAAAGCTGAGTCCCACTGAATTCAGCGGGATTAAAGAAATACAAACTCATGTATTTCTGTAGCTTCCAGCGAAATTCAGCTAAACCAATTATTGCTTTACAGAACCTGTAACTGAAACTCCAAGGAGCTGTTGCACGGTTTCCTTGTACCCCCAGGTTTCATCCAGCCTCCACTAGAAACCCCAAGTTTAAGTTTCCAAACATTAAACTGTATTAAATCCCAAGGATTCTTTCAGAGGTTGTGCCACCAAGAGGCCAGTGTTGGCCATTCCTGGACCCAGGGGTGCAGACTTGGTGGCCTCACTGCTCAAAGCTTCCTCCAACACCAACCTTTGTTTATTTCCCCCCTGATTTAGTTTCTTACCTCAAGAACAGGGTTGGAAAGGAGCAGCCGGTCCCGGACGATCTGCAGCTGCTCCGTGGTGGGACAGGTCACTGCGTAGTACTGCAGGATCTTCTTGGATGCCTCTGTCTTCCCAGCCCCACTCTCTCCAGAGATGAGGATGAAGTGGTTGTTGTACTCGCTGCACATCACCCGGTAGGCATTGTCAGCTATGGCATATCTGGACATGGCACAGGAGGCATTTGGAGGGGAACATCCATCAGGAATGGCATAGGAGACAGAATATCAGAGGCATTCCAGGGTATTCACTCCTGCTCTAACTTTACAAGTGTTGGACAGGATCATAGAATCCCAGATGGTTTAGGTTGGAAGAGATCTTTGACATCATCCCTTCAGCGAAGACTTAATTATCCTTGTGGGTCATTCCCAACTCAGAATACTCTGTGATTCTGTGATCTCATCCCAACCCCCTGGGGTGGGCAGGGACACCTTCCACTGGGAAAGCTGAGCTCAAAATGAGTCTGACTCAAAGTTTCATAGTAAAAACCGGACCTAGTGCCTGTGGACACACCCCCGTGGTGCCCCAGCATTACAGAGAAATCCCAAATCAGTGATCCAAGCTGACATCCCAAGGGATTACTTACAGATGTGGTGGCAGTTCAAAGAAGTTCACCCCTCGGTAGAGCTGCATCTGAGTCACGGTGTAGATGTCCAGCTCCTTGTAAGGGTTCACAGACACAAGGAGGGTACCAATGTATGTCTGCAGGAGAGAGAGCACTCGAGTGGGAAACCTGCTCCAGCACAGGAGTTGTGGCTCCCAAAGCAGGAGTCAAGTACTAAAGAAGCAAGAATCAAAGAAGATAGCACGGAGCTTGCTAAGAGAGAACCAACCAAACCAACCCAAAAAAAACCCCTCCACAGCCTTCATTATTTCAAAGTCAACACCAAACTTCTTCCAAAATCTCTTGTTATGAGTAGAGCTGAACCATGACAGCAAGCTCAGGGCCTGACATTTTAGATGCAAGGTCCCATAAGCGTGGGACCATCCCATAAGCATGGAGTCCTTATGGGATCTTTCTCCTACTTATGGGATCCTTCTCCTACTGAAGTTAACATAACATACAACAAAATCCTCGTCACTTCCCAGACAAATCAGGTACAATGTTCTGCCTTACCTTCAAGCATCGTGTTTCCTTTCCCATTCCATTACCATTTACTGCACATCCTTTAAAACTTTGCAAGGCAACTCAGAGCAAGCTGTGACTGTAATTTTCATCAGCTAAAGTAGACAAACCACTCCTGGATGATCACCCTGCTGGGTACTACAAACATCCAGCAAGGCTTATTGCTAGATTCACAGACTGTACACGGCTCTTCCTCCTGGATCTGACCAGCAAGGCCCCTTGGAGACATTTCACACAAATCCACGCAACCAGCACTCACATAGATGAGGTTCTCCTGGTACCGCTTCCGCAGGTTGTTGAGGAAAGCAGCCTCGCTGGTGTGGGAGTCCAGGAGCACAAAGTCCTGCACCCCGACCCTGTCCCGGGCTATCAGAGCCCCCTCCATGTTCTCGTCGGTGTTGTCGTCCACTTCTTCCTTCTGCAACACAAAGGTGGGGGGACACAGGATTAGGAGGGAGCAGAGTTAGGAGAGACCTGAAGGGCCAGGTGAGTCCCTCCCCAGGGCCAAATCATCCTTGCACAGGTAATGCCAAGAGATCCTTATTCCAGCTTGTCCAGAGATGGCAATTCCACACCATGAGAGTTTGTATTTTGATGTCTTCGAAGTCAAGACGTCTGAGACTCACTGCTGGGATCAGGGAGGAAGACCAGGGTTTCCAGGCACCCTCGCTGAACACAACAGCAAGGTGAGACAAACCCAGCCCCAGAGATGCAGTTGGGATCTGGACACTGCAATGACTCAGTCTGGACAGAGCTCTTGCAAGCACAAAGCCTGAATAAACGGTGGAAAACACCAGCCAAACCAATAGTTCTACATCATCTGCAACTCCTTTACACAGACAGAACTGCACAAGTGGAGAAACTCTGGGAAAAGCTTCATGGGACCTGACTTTTAGGGAAAAAAGATACTACTTAGCACAAGACTCTGTTATTCCCAGTGTCTCCAGGTCGAGTTCTGGTGCTGGCAGCAGAGGTCCCCACACGCCAGCGGGAGCCACGGCCACTGCGCTGATAAAACCAGTCAAACAGCGACTCGGGCACGGTTAGACCCTTCCCAGTACAACCCCATCCTTCCCAAAAGACTGACAGATGCCAAAAAGGGTGTCACTGACCAAACCTAATTCTTTTGCACCCTCCACCTCTGATTATTTATCGTGGAAGTCGAGTTCACACTGGAAATTCTCCCTGCTGAGGATCAAGCTCAATTCCCAGGCTGTAAGAATAAACTGTGCTTTTTATTTAATTAAATGAAGCTGCTAATTTCATGCTGGCAAATAGAAAAAAAAGTTTTGGCTACATATTCTCCATGAATTTGCCTACTTTACACATATTCTACAATAATATTGTGCTAAAGTGGTGTTTTCTGGGTTTCTGGGGGTTTTTTTGTATTTTAAAGACACCAGAATTAGACAGTTCAGAGAGAAGTAACTAACTAATGCATTAAATGCTTCCCTTAGGACAGAAATGAAACCAAAGAGTTGGAGCAGCTTACCTTGCAGGGTTCCAGGCTTTGGGAATTAGGGGAGGGGATGCGGCCGAGCAGCCGGAGCAGCTCTGGAGGCTCAGGGCTGTGATCACCAGCCCAGCACCTTTGCTGTTCTGCTCCTGCCCTTGGGGACATTGGCTTTGCACATTTTGCTGCTCCACTGCTCCAGGAGATGCTGTGATTGTGTGTGAGGTTTCCAGTGAGAACTAAAAGGGCTGTGATGGTCTGTTTGTGCAGTGCCACCTCATGTTCTCCCTCCCCTTTTTTTGTTCAACTTTTATTTTTCTAAGGCAGAAGCTTTCAAATTGTAAATAGACACAGACTAAAATGTTTCTGCAAAGCTTTGGCAAACTCTGGCTCCAGAAGGAGGCTTTTGGGATGAACCTGGACTGCACTGGTGGACACTAAGGACACCAAGTCTCGGGGGATTTAGGAGCAAGGTTGAATAATTGAAGAGCAAAGGACCCATCCACACAATATTCTTTATAACTCAGGCAAGCTCAGAAGAATCAGTCCTTAAAGAGCTATTTTAATGTTATTCTCATTTTACAGCCTGTTCTTTACATTTATCTGTTTATCTCACTGAGAGTGATCTGAGCTTTGAGATGTATATTCAGCAGTAACACTACCACATACTCCAGAGAGAGATCCCCTGAAAGCCTGTTATTTAAACCTTATCACAGTTTAAAAATAAATAAATCAGACCTGCACTAACTTCACACACGAGGAATTACATCTTTGCCTTTCACATCCTCTGCCTCCAGCTGCCTGTCCTCAGCCCCAGGCTGGCAGGACACAGCATTCCTCATTTTTCCTGAGCCAGGCCACAATGTGACTGTGATCACTTCTTTCTTCTGCCAGAAAGATACCCCCAGTTTTTCCTTTTAATATTAATATCCCTTTTTTCCCCTCCTCTGCACAGGACCCGTCTTAACAATTTGTTGAGCTTGTCCTTATCTCAGGCTCCATCAGTTTGGAATTAAAAATAAAGGATGATTTCACTTCTCAAACCAGTACCTGGACAGATCCCACTACCTGTGTAGGGAGGGACGTGGAGGGTGGGGGGGAGGAAAAATTATAATAATAATAACAACAACAACAACAACAAAAATAATAGGATGTATCCTTCTTAGAAAGCTCTTGGGACAAGCTGCACAGGAGACTTCCATTCTTTCCCAGCTGGGAATTAGGAAAGGATAAGCCTGAAACCACAGTGACCATCTCCCTGCTCAGGTTTCCCTAACCCAGTTCTCTCACGTGTATGTTAATTGATAAGTGACAGTGGTGCCCATCAAAATTCCTGAACTCTTTTCTGGACTTTTTTGTGCTCAGATTTTCTCAGTATTTTACTGTTGCTGATATTTTTATTATCACAGCACCATTTACTGGCATTTACACCCATTTCTGGAAGTTTACCACAATTTTCTGCTTGCCTGGTATGACCATGAGTAAGATACCCCAGGACTCAACAGGTCACAGAACCCCAGCAAGACTCTGCTCTCTTTTAAGGATTATTTTCCTTTCCTCATCACTCAGGAGTCAGGAGATTTCTTTCTTGCCTCCTGAGATAGGAGCTCTATCAAAAAAACTCTCCCTTGCTACAATGAAAGGTTTTGCTTTTCCCACAGGGATTTGTCCATCAACACAGAAACTACAAGGAACTACGTCAGATTCCAACACAGATTCTGTGCAGCTCTTGGGAAAGGTCTAAAATGAGGTCAGACAGAACAGGCCAGTTTCTTTGACAAAGTTTGTACCAGTTTGAAGCAAGATCTGGCAAGGAATGGGTAGAAGACAAAAAAAAGAACCAGAAAGAAAGAAACTTTGCAAAATTATCACTTATCCTCACCAGAGGATCAAAACTTCATTTTTCAACAGGCTCTAAAGGGAATTCTTGATGTTTCTTTGGTTTAATGTCATAGAACAGAAGAGATTAATGTAGAGGGGGAGAGGAGGAACAGCTATGAGGCCACTGCTATTTTGGAAGCACTAGAAAAGCCCAAACCCTGCAGGTACAACGAGGTGAGAGCAGGAACAACCTCACCCCCTGTACCTTTGGAGCAGCCTCATACCCCCCACCCACCCAGCCAGGCCCCACCTGCACCAAAATGCCATTCAACCCCCAGACCCAGGTTATTGGGGCCACCCACAAGGCCACCAGTTCCCACCACAACAGCAGAAAATCTTCTCAAGGATCCTCCACACCCCCAACCATCCCAACCTGCCGGAGCTGCTGGATTTCCCTCTTTCCCTGCCACCAGCACACTACAGATGCAGAAGTGGTTTTACTTCACATCTGCCTCCTGCTTTACCTGCACCCTCCTGTCACCTCCTTGTCCAGCCCGGCTCCTTCCACAAAGAGTTAACGGGGCTGGAGTTGAGGCCCGTTGACACCCAGGATCGTGTGTCGTGTTCGCTGCCCCTCCTTGGGCAGGGCTGCACATCCTCCTTCTGTCATTAATTATCCAACGTCCTGTCAGCGCCCGAGCCCGGGGAGTGCAGGCTCGGGGAGATCTTACATCTCATCTGAGGCTGAAGGTGGACCGATGGACTACGACCTTTCTGATGGGCAACTGGAGCAAATCCAGGCGCAAAATACATCCCACCACCCCGACCAGGCTCCTCAGCCCCTTCCCGCAGCTCCCGCCTTGGTTCCCACTAGAGGTCACTGCAAAACCCGGTTTAATTTGCGGTTTCTGCAGATTATGCTTTTTTTTTTTTCCCCCCTTATCAACTGTTTCTCCCCCCAAAAGTAACTTCTCAGGTTGGACCACCAGCAACTCCCAGTGATCCTTGAGCAGCCTTAAACATCCCCTCCATTCTATTCACTGCTCTCCAGATGATGCTTCCAGGAATTAAGAGCTCTGTATTTAAGGAGATTCACACCCAAGTCCCACCTCACTGAATGATGAAGGAGATCTCATGAAGGGACTCGTAGCAGGATCAGGGTCTCCAGAAGTGGAAAAACCTACAAGATTATCTTGGTTTTACAGCAATACTTAGGGCATAGAGCTCTCACCTCGTGGCTCAGAACCATTAAGGAAAACCAGCACAGAGCACAACCCAGGGAGCCGAGTGAGGCAAAGGCATTACTGCTTTATCCTTAGCTAATAAATACTGATTGTGAACAAAAACATTCAAAACTTCAAAGAAAAACCCCCTCAATAATGCATATTTCCATAGAGAAGTGGGAAAGCCATCTGTATGACAATTTATTTAGACCCACCTCTTTCCCAACAGAATCAATTTTTGGTATCAGAAATACAATTCTTCCCCCCAAGAGCACATTTGTGTTATGATCTCTGCAAAAAACGTCCCCTTTCCACCCCCTCCAAAACTCCAAACCTTATCTAAGGCTGGACATGATGACCCTAAAGCCCAGTTCAAACTGTTTGTTCAGCTCTGTCTCCATCTGCCATCATAGAATCATGGAATATCCTGACTGGGAAGGGACCACAGGGACCAACCCCTGGCCCTTCCCAGGACACTCCAACAATCCTACCCTGTCCCTGAAAGTGTTGTCCAAACACTCCTGGAGCTCTGGCAGCCTTGGGGCCGTGACCATTCCCTGGGGAGCCTGTTCAGTGCCCGACCATCCTCTGGGGGAAGAACCTTTTCCTGAGATCCAACCTAAACCTCCCCTGACACAGCTCCAGCCATTCCCTTGGGTCCAGGAAATGTCTGTGACACCAAACATTTACGACCTTTTTTGTGTGTGTGTTCTCTGTAGTTACAGGCTTGCTCAGGACAGATGAGCATGGAGCAGCTCTGCTAACACAGATTCCCTCAGGAACTTCGGAGTTCTGTTTTGGAAATACTCATTTACGTGGGAGCAGCAGCTCCCTGACCCAGCCCTGCTCCCTTTGGGTGCACCAGGAATTCACTCATTAAGAGTCCTGGAAGTTGGGCTGCAGGGGATCACAACG